TAGTATGAGAGCCTGTTCTAGTACACCCCCAAAACAAAATCAAGACTTCGTAAAAGAGCATAATAGGACCCCTTTAATCATAATTTTTGGCTGGGCTGAATGGCAAATAAATGAATAAATCCATGCAGATAAACCTGACTGACGATTTAGGATTTTGCGTATCATACGGTCAGTTTCCGAGTGTGAAATTAATGCTCTTATTCACATGAACTCTGGATTAAACACAATGACTGGCCTTCAGAAGAACACTTCATCTCATCATCTGTGTTTGACATCATTTTAAGGATTTGGAAACCCTACATTTATTTAAAACGAGCTGCCAAACAAAGAGAGCTTTGGATAAGGTAAAGCAGATTGCCTCAAATCATTCAATAATCATTCAGTAATACAACGATCATGTAAACAGAGGATTGTGTGTGAGGGCAGTGCTGTGAGATTTGCGTTTAGGTTTTTAATAACATGACAAAAACTGATCATGCTCTTAATATTCGTTTCCAAACCATGCGCGTATTGGTATAACTAACACAAAAGGATGAAACGATGACTGTTAAAAGCATAAAACACATTTGACCAACAGAAGTTATTGTACACATTTCTATGAACTACACTTACATCCTGCAAGGGTCCTCCTCTGGTGCAGTCTTACATTTATCAGTCCTGAGAAATGCCTGTCTAAAGCGCATTAAGTTGTTTTCTATTCAGTTTAGTGTTTTATATCAACTTTTAACATATTATGTGTAGATGCATTTCATTGATTTATTTATTTACTTGTCTAAAAGCACACTGGCTTTTCTCCACCCTGGCGGTTTATAATCATTTAAGAGGGTTGTATGAGAGAGTATCCACTCAATGATTAATAAAAAAAAAAAATAAAAAAAAAAATAAATAAAAAAGCTGGATATTTTAATAGCAGACTAAAAAGCATTGAGAACATCAATTCATATCTCTCATACCAATATTAGAATTTTTTGTTGTTGTTTTACTATTCGTGATTAGTGCACAAAAATACGTGATAAAAAATTGTTAAAACACAGAATTATATATATAGGTGTGTGTGTGTGTGTTTTTATCACTTATTTTTGTGCACTAATCATATACAGTGGGTACGGAAAGTATTCAGACCCCCTTCAATTTTTCACTCTTTGTTATATTGCAGCCATTTGCTAAAATCATTTAAGTTAATTTTTTTTCCTCATTAATGTACACACAGCACCCCATATTGACAGAAAAACACAGAATCGTTGACATTTTTGCAGATTTATTAAAAAAGAAAAACTGAAATATCACAGAGAGAGAGAGAGAGAGATACCCATTCTTTGGGATAATGAGGAGCATAACTTTGCTGCCAAAAATATTTTTCTCTGCCATGACATAAATCCTGGGATTGGAGAAATATAAAGACACATCATCTTTGGTAATAACTATTAAGCATAGATTATAAGAGGGTCAGGCTTTAATCTCTGCTCTGAACATATGGTTGTAATTCAGCGTTTTATCCATGGTACGTTAATAAAAAGGTAGTTTAATCCTAATGGAGTAATCTAGTGTTGTTAATGGACTCCATATGCTTCTAATCACTCGACCTCCTCAACAAATAACATTAAACCATCTGATTTAATAAATGCTGACTGATCTTAGGCGGCAAAATTAGTAGAGGTGTAATGCACTTATTACAAAAAAAAGGCACAAAATCCCCAACATACATTAACAGATGGAAAGACACAATCACTTCATTAAAGGGGTCCTATTATGCTTTTTCACTTTTTTAATTTTAGTCAGTGTGTATGTTTGGGCATAAAATTTGCTATTGTGTGCTGCGCATTTTACTGAGGACAGCTTCCACAACATGAGGGAGTACAGTGCCTGCCGGATTCGCCAAAAAGCTTTTGTTGAAAGACAGAGCAAGAGGCGGGGCAGTACTGAAACACCGTCTAAGCTGTTCGCCAATCACAACGCACTGGGACAGCTAACCAATCACAACATATTTTTCAGAAGGCGGACCTTCATCAAAGCCGGAACTAATCGAGCCGTTGTGCCAGGATGAGGAGAAAGGTATTGTAATAATGTAAATTATGTGAAAAATAATGCGTTTTTCGAACCACCAAGCATCAGAGCATGTTCTAGTACACCCCCAAAACAAAATCAAAACTTTGTAAAAGAGCATAATAGGACCCCTTTAACATCTGAAATGTGGAACGACTGGCTCATAAAGCTAGAGGCTACTTTGGTCAAACTTTTCAGACCAAACGTGTTGTATTTTATATAATAACACTACAATTCAGTACAGTAAGCATCTTTATTAAAATTCAAACTTTATCAATATGCCTTTAAATATATTAAACCCAACCTTTACTTTCCAAGCTGTCTTTGAAATGGAAGATTAGTTTTGGGGAACTTAACATTTATGAAAATAAAAAAAAAAAGAAAGAAAAAAAAATACAATTTCAGGTGCCAGAAACAAACCGTTTGGCTTTGTCAGACCAGTCTGACTGATTTCATTGTCGCTTGTTCTAATCGACACTTTACTGGACCTTGAATGTGACAAAAACAGCATGTACAGACGCAGGAGCTTCCGTAAAGCTACAAAACTTGAAAAGAAAAATGTTTACTAGTATTTGTTTCGTATAAAACTACCAGAGTACTTACAGTAAATCATTCCGGGTACAATTGTCAGACATTGGAGAGCAACATTTAGAACCACAGATACAAAAACAGTCCATTTTCCTTTGCCACATTCCCTGTGTTCCACAACAGATCCTGATCCACCGCAATCCATCGATTCTTTCTTCATCCAAACAGTAATAATAAGACGATACACACTGAATTTACTGCTATCAGAGGTACTGCGAGAGGAGAAGAGAAAACACGTTAATATTAAACGATTTCTGGCACATGTCGACAAAAAGACACAGAAACAACAAATGGACCTAATTTTCCCTAGAACATGATTAAGATCAATGCAAATCTAAAAAAATTACAGGTAAATTAGTATCTCTATTAATGATTCTCGCTAGTAATAGATTATCCATGATCTAAACATGGGAATTAGTAACATCAGTTTATAAAACGGAGAGTTCCGGTCCTTGATTCTGATTGGCTGAGCCGCGTTTGAAGCTGTTGTAAATTACTCTACAAACATACACCTTTGTTTACGTTTGTGTGTTGCTCGGCAACCACTTTGTAGTTTCTGATTCTGAGGCACTACATTGTTTGGTGGAAGAATACTTTTTTTATTAATATCATTACACTTTATTTGCTCTGTTTTATTTTATGAAACCTAACTACGTATATGGAATAACCGTTTTATAAAAGCAATAAGCCCCAAGAAGCCGTGGTTTACAGTGAATTTATAACAGCTAAGTGGGTTTTACTCCGCTTCGCGTCTTACCTAACAACGCCCCTTAGCTGTTATAAATTCACTGTAAACCACGGCTTCACGGGGCTTATTGCTTTTATTGACACTGTAGAAATGAGCAAACCTCTCATGACAGTCCTGACAGAGCGAATAAGGTTCAGAAGTTGTGCTTTAATGCCGGGTTCATCTCCAAATCCTCCAATACCCTGCTCTGCTCCCCAGCCGACTGTGAAAATTATGAGTTTGTTAATTACAGAGCATTCTATAATGATACATGTCATGCTATAATGACTATATGCATGCATATTAAGATGTGTATCTTTATCATCAAGGGCTGAAGGTTTATATCGTTTACAAATCCCCAAGATGTACATTTTACTGGAAACATGTTTTGTTTTGTTTTTTCTTTTTGACTGTATTCACTGGAAATAAAGAATAGTTAATCCCTGAAAAATATTGCCTCTCTAACAAAATAACAGAAGTACAAATTAAGATTACGCATAATTAGGCCTGTCGCAATAATCAATATATCGACTTATCGCACAATATATGTACATGACCTCAATCATTTTTGGTGACGCAATATATCGCCCATTATATTTACTTAAAAATTAATGTCACCATGTTTTGTACATTCCACTTGCGCCTGTGTCTTTTGCAGCTTCTCGTACATAACGTGGTGTAGTTGGTGCTAGTTCAAATTTAATAAATGCTTCAACAAAAAAAAGTTTCATCTGCAGATATGGTCTCGTTTAGGGATCTGTGCCTTTGTGCATACGGACATCTGACTGCTGAGTAGTGATTGTGTTTTTCAGCAATAGTGAGCACCCTTCATTTACAAAGAAAAGAAGGTCAGGGAAACATCTGTAGATGGAAAAATCTTTGTGCATTTTTCTTTTTTTTTTCTACTTTGCACTTTTTGTTAGAAAATGTTTATTCACTATTTATTCAGGCTTTTTAAGGTATCTAATATTTTGATACTTAATTTCCATGATCTAAATATTCTTAAAAATTAATTTCTGGGGCAATATATCGCACAACAAAAAGTTGTTATCGTGACAGGCCTACGCATAATGCCTATCCAACTAGCTTGCAAAATGCTATTTTTGCTAATATTCCCAGTTGATCTGTATTCTGTAAGCTTTGCTTCATTTATTTTATCAATGCTGCCAGATGTATTCCCGTTGGGAGAATTTAAGTTATCAAATCTGATTTGTTTTATTTTATTTATTCATTTTGCTTAAAGATACGAGAGAGCCATGCTGCTGAATGCATTGTTCCTTTATTTGTTCTGCACTGCATTTGATTTATTTACAAGAACAAATTTCATTTAGATATTTAGAAGTCTTTCTTACTGTTTTTTTTTCTTTACTGTAAAATCTTTAAACATTTCTTATATGATTGTATTGTTCCTGCTGATTTCCTTCATATGTTACATTTGCATGCATGTATATTCCTTTCATGTTATCTTATTTCAAATTAAATTCAATGTTTAGACCCACTGTAATCATTAATATTTTCAAATAGCAAAGTCACTGACGCTATTAAATAACACAGATATGGAGTTATGTAGTGATGAAAAGAAGTTAAATAGCAGCTCTGCGCACACGTTGCACTTTCACGAGGTGCTGATCCATTTCAAAACATGTTATTATTTCGCATATATTGATTCATATGTAGGCATATACAGAAGATGATACTGGCGAACTGATGCAGACTAGCCTGTTCAAATTCGGATTTCTGTTAATAACTGCTAAACATCCATTCAGGCGATGTCAAAAACTACCACGGTCAAAGCATGTTATAATATTTAATAATAACATTCTCATATTTCTGTACGTTAACTTCCCGTAACGTTACATTTCGGAGACGTAAACGCTAGGCTAGCAAACCAGATGGCTATACACACATATTTACACAACAAAACAAACCTACCATCATACTGAAGAGAAAACTCTAGTCCTAAGCACTTACTTTTACTGAGAAACCTCTCTTCGTGGAGCACCGCGACGGCATTCGTGAATAATATCGCTGTTTGAATCAGCGCGTAGAAGGTGAACGCCATGCTGCCGCTAACTACTTCAGTTTACTGCGTGCGTGCGACGACGCAAAAGCGCTTGCGTGCGTCGTGCGGAATTACGTCACAGACGTAAGGCTTAGATTGACAAGAGTAAAAAAAAAAGCATAATACTAACATATTACTCTAACTGCACTACTTTAACTGCTAAATATGATATTCCGACTTTAGCCATATACTGTACCCACCAAACACATGAATCACGTGCTCACTGTATTTGTACTCATTATACTCACTGAATCGTATGAAGACACTTTATTTTTGAACAACCTATTTTTGTTTTATTTGTTTGCTGATGTACAACAACATTATTCTATATATCATCGCAGCATTTAATAGTAATACAACACATTATGCAGGAAATAATTAGTAAAACGAATGTAGTAACTGAATTAGGCTATATAATATTTTCGAATATATATTTAATAGGCATAATTAAATAATATATTTGACAAATAATATAAATAATCAACGTAAACCCTAAAAATGCACACAAATATTGTTTTATAGCCTATTTGTGCTATCACTCATTTTCTTTCTTTAGTATTGTATTATGCTTGTGGTTTTCAAAGTGCACTTGTAAAAAAATAATAATAATAATAAAATAAAAATATTAAAATGAATGGTCTTTTTCATATTATAGACTTTTAATTATCCACATAAATAGAGAAACTACAAGAACATGTTTAAATACATTTGCATGAACAGTTAATAATAACATTTTGAAACGTGTGTTTATGTCAATGTTGTATTTAAACAGGCAAAACATGAAAGGTTTACACACTTTCAGATTGCTCATCAGCCACAATACAGAGCAACCCGTTGCCTCCACAGCCTCCTTTTGTACATTTACAACCTATAGCTAATTTCATTGTACAGTTTGCTGTTATCAATATAAGTGAATGCATGGGTAATAAATAAACTTAAATAAGTTCATAAATAATCAAATGGGGTTACTGTACAGGAAATATGTCAAATGAACTCTAAATCATTGGTAGATGCATTGAATGGTATACTGTTTATCAGTCAGTACACTGATGCCTTTTGGTTTGATTGAGAGATGGACATTGTTGAGGTGGTCTGTCAAAGGCAGCGTTCAACATTTTGATCCGGTGAAGACGTTGCTTTCTTTGTGTTGAGATGTTGAGAGCAGCTTGATTTTGTTTCAAACGAATTGACCTAAAACATATAACAATTGATATAGTCACTATGATTTCTCAAAATAATCAAGAACATCAAAAATGTGATGACAAATTAGTGCTATTTAGTGTAAAAAAAAAAATGATATGGCCAATAAGTTATGACAACATGTGTTTTTACATTACTTTAAGTCATCAAAATAAGTTAAGCAATTTTCTACTTTATTTTATAAGTTACAAGGTTCAACTCAAGGTTACTTTTTTTACGGTGATCTATTTTGTTGACAAATCATGAAATCTGTATTAAATAGATTTTAGTGAATGCAGACACATTATTTTTCTCATATGATGAAATAACTTTGATACTTACCATTTAGCTTTTGTTTAGATGTGTCCCGACCTTTTCTTTTCTAATGATGCTTGCATAGGGAATCTACCAAAAAAAAAAACACACTATGGAATCAGTTAATACTTGGACTGCCCATCAACAATACAGCATTTCTCTTATCTGTTATTTTAGGGATTATATCATCTATCTACAGAAGGGATGACACAAAATTTGCTTAAAGGGATAGTTCACCCAAAAATGAAAATGTGATGTGTATCTGCTTACCCTCGGGGCATCCAAGATGTAGGTGACTTTGTTTCTTCAGTAGAACACAAACTGAGATTTTTAACTCAAACCGTTGCAGTCTGTCAGTCGTATAATGGAGGTGAATCACGGCTTTGAGAGTCAAAGAAACATACACAAACAAAACCAAATTAAACCCTGCGGCTCGTGATGATACACTGATGTGTAAAGACACGAAACGATCGGTCTGTGCAAGAAACTGAACAGTATTTATATCGTTTACCTCTGATGCACTGCAATGTCTGAACTGTCCTGAGCACGTCCTCGACAGCCGGCGCGTGACGCGTCTTCTTCTTGCTTTACGGCGGATCGCAGACTTATAAGTGCATTACCGCCACCTATCTCTCAAATGGACCATTCACACTCTATCTACAATCTCAATTAGGAGTGTCAATGGTCCATTTGAGAGATAGGACATTCGGACATTGCAGTGCATGAGAGGTAAACGATATAAATACTGTTCAGTTTCTTGCACAGACCGATCGTTTCGTGTCTTTACACAACAATGTATCGTCACGAGCCGCAGGGTTTAATTTGGTTTTGTTTGTGTATGTTTTTTTGACTCTCAAAGCTGTGATTCCCATTCACCTCCATTATATGACTGACAGACTGCAACGGTTTGAGTTAAAAATCATCATATGTGTTCTACTGAAGAAACAAAGTCACCTACATCTTGGATGCCCTGGGGGTAAGCAGATAAACATCAATTTTTCATTTTTGGGTGAACTATCCCTTTAAATGAATGTTTACGGAAAACTTGTGTCCTTCATATTTTTTAATGTAGTAAATGCACTATTTTACTATTATAATACATTCAAAAGTTTGAGCTCAGTATTTTTTTAGTCTCTTCTGCTCACCAAAGCTACATTTGTTTGAACAAAAATACAGTAAAAACAGTCAAATTGTGAAATATTTTTATAATTCAAAAGAACAGGTTTGTATTTGAATATATGTTAAAGTGTAATTTATTCCTGTGATCAAAGCTGAATTTTCAGCATCATTACGCCAGTCTTCAGTGTCACATGATCCTTCAGAAATCATTCTAATATGCTGATTTACTGCTCAAGAAACATTTCTGATTATTATCAATGTTGAAAACATTTTGTCATGATTCTTTGATGAACAGGGAGTTCAAAAGAACGGCATTTATTTGAAACATAAATCTTTTGTAACATTATAAATGTCTTTACTTTCACTTTTATTAATATAATGCATCCTTACTGAATAAAAGTATTACTTAAAAAAAAAACAAAACATAAACGCAATAGGTCACTTAAAGCCGTTCTGTCTTTAAATTAAAAATACTCTTTTGCCGTGACTACATTCGCATATTCCCTTATATGTGGTGATACAACACTAAACGTAAGCTTCCATCTTCCAAGCGTCATTATGTATTCATCTCTATTGTGCATTACAGAAGTTCAGCTTTCAATCTGTCACGCTGTAATCTCTCATATATGATCTCCCCTGGCTTGACGGATGGTGTTGAACTGAGAGAACACACAGTGGCAGTCTGCCAGCATCATCCATGTGTTAAAACACAGATGCCCCAGTGACTGATGCCGCAGCGCTATGCAATGTTGAACCAGTTCTAGACAACAAAAGATTGCGAGACACCAGATCCTGCTGCTTGTCTGCTGGTTATCTTATATTTCCTCTTTAACATAGATTTAGCCTGCTACAGCAGATTACTAATATAACAGGGCTGCATGTGGGATATTTGTATGATTTAAACGCAAATTAATCAGATGGGAAATTATGTTACCAGAAAGCTCCTTACCATCTGTAACTGCTGCACCATTTCTTCCCTGTAAGCCAGTTCTCTCTTCATTTGGTCCTGAAAGTTATCTGTAGAGGATGGCCAAATATGGAATATTAAAACAATGGCATCTTATGGTCACCTGTATTCATATATAATCCCTTATGTAGGGCTTTTCAAAAAGGTTCATTTTATCGTTCTGGGGCTTATTTCAGAAGTGGGTCATTATAGAGTTATACTGACTTTATCTGATTGATCAGAGAAAGCAGGTTCTCTGATTTTCACATGCTAACCCTTACCAAAATGTAGTATACTTCAAGTTTATTTGATTAAGTATACTTAAGTAAAGTTCAAGTATATTTTTAAGTATATTTTATGTAGGAAGTATACAAATATCAGTGTACTAGTAGTATACTTGTAAGTGTACTATTTCAATACTCCTTGGGACTAAATTGGCCCACTTTCTAGTATATAAAAGTATACTTTTAAGTATACTTTAAGTATAACAGTAGTAAACTT